ACTATGGGACCTATGTTTCTTTGGGCCTGGCTTACTTCACTTAATATAATTTATTCCAAGTCTTTCCATTTCCTAACAAATGGGGCAGTGTTATTCTTTCTTATAGAACCATAAAATTCAATTGTGTAAAGATACCATATTTTCTTGATCCATTCATCTGTTGAGGGGCATCTGGGTTGGTTCCATACCTTAGCTATGGTAAATAATGCTGCAATGAACATAGTTGTGCTGGTAGCTTTAGTGTGGCTTAGTTTGGATAAATGCCCATGAGTGGGATTGTTGGATCATAGGGGAGTTCTATGTTTAGTCTTTTGAGGAACCTCCATACTGCCTTCCAGAGTGGTTGAACCAGCTTACATTCCCACCAACAGTATAGTAGTGTTCTCTTTTGGCCACATCCCCACCAGAATCTGTTATTGTTTTCTTGATAATGGCCATTCTGACTGGGGTGAGGTGGAATCTCAGTGAGGTTTTGATTTGCATTTCTTTTATGGCCAGCAATGCTGAGCATTTCTTTATGTGTCTATTGACCATTCTTATTTCCTCTCCAGAGAAGTCTCTTTTTAATTCTTTAGCCCACTTATTAATGGGTGGTTGTTTCTCTGAGGATTTGTTATTGAGGAGGGTTCCCCCCTCCCCCCGGGTCATAGGGCCTGAACTCTGGGCCTGGGTACTGTCCCTCAACTCTTCAGCTCAGGGCTAGTACCCTACCACTTGAGCCACAATGCCACTTCTGGCTTTTTCCGCTTATGTGGTGCTGAGGAATTGAACCATGCATGCAAGGCAAGCACTCTACCACTGAGCCACCTTCCCAGACCAAGGGGGTGGGTAGTTTTTTGAGCTCTAGGTATATTTTTGTTAGGAGACCCTTGTCTGGTGTAGATCTAGTGAAGATCTTCTCCCAGTCTGTGGACTTTCTACTTATGTTGCTAGCTACATCCTTTGCCATGCAGAAGCTCTGCAGTTCAGTGCAATCCCATTTATCCAGACCTTCCTTGATTTGTTGTGTTTCTGGATCTTTATTTAGGAAGTTTTGGCTGTGCTGAGGAACGCTAGCATATCCCCTATCCCTTCCTGTAATAGTTTCAGTGTCTGGGCAGATGATCTTAAAGTGTTTATCAACAGACCTCTTGGCCCAGAACTTAGCACTGGGTCTGTCAATAAACATTCATTGAATTCAGTGTTCTTAAACCAAAAAGATGCAGTCTTCATTTCAGTGACTCAGTGGTTCTTTTTGCAGTTGGCTAGCTAATTGTTCCCCCAGTTTCCTTGGACCTTTCTCCCACTGATAAGAGCTGTCATTTCTTCAGCCTCTCCTGTATGTTGGGTGCTGTGGCAAACATTTTATATATACTGGCTCCTTTAACCCAGCAAGGGTCTGAGGCCTACCTGCTCTGGGACTCAGGTACAGGGCTGGCCACCCATATCCCTTCACATCCATGCTGCACACCTCCTGTTTGCTGAAGTTTTCTGTATTCCCATTGAGATGGTGATAGTCTAGATTTTGAAGAAGTGCAGTCTTACTGCACATTTGATTTGTATGCCCAGACAAAACACTGTTAAAGATAATCTCCATTTTTATTTGAGCCTGCCTTTTGGGGTTGCTTATCTGAGTAGCCTAGAACCAGGAAGAGTAAGGGGAAATACCTGAGGGCCTGTGATTGGAGCTCCCCTCCCCTGACTCCCAAGTGACTGGCACTCTGGTGTCATGTGTTCTCGCTGAAGAGAAAGTTTTGTTACAAACACTTGCTAAACACTAAGATAAAACTAAAAATTCCTTGCCCTCTGTCAGCTCAAAGTCTTAATAAGGAAAGAGTGGGTGCAGATGTTCACATGTGTACACACACGCACACACTCAGACTGCAAAAAAAGGCAGTCAGTGGAAGAGCACTGGACTTGGATTCTGAAGGACCTGGATCCAACCTCAAATTCCTGTCTGCTGTTACAGAATACAGAAAACTGTAAGCTGACAGTCCTTTTTGTATCTCATGGAAGGAAAACCTGGTGTAGAATGAAGTTTTTGCATGGTCCTTATTCATCTTGCTTATCATGAGTGTTCATCACTGACTGATCTCAGGGTACTGCCTGGCATCCTAGTGGTGCAGAGAATACATGGTTCTGGATTCTTAAGAGTTTAAAGGTGCCCCCCCCTATTTAGAAGAGGGCCCCAAACTAGTACATCTAGCCCCAAAAGCTTTGGCAGAGAGATCATGAACATAAATACCTTCTCATGACTGGTTGAAAAAAAAAAAAAGCTAGAAAGATTTTGTAAACTAAAGAATAATAAAACATGAGGTGTCACCCATGCTGTGTAAGGGGGTCACTGAGTTAAGTGCCTATTTTTCAGGGCCAGGAAGAGGGTCAACGACATCAGGGGAGGTAAAGTCTGAGCCAGCCTTGAAGGTGAATTGAATTTTTCATTTCATGGAGAAGCTGCACAAATGAAAATCTTGGCTGGGGCAGTTGCCTGGAGAAAATGTGCAGAAAAAAAAATGTCTTTAAGCAGCTTGAGCTCATGGACTTTGTCAGCTTACAGAAAAAGTCTGATTATCTGTCAAAATGCAGGAGAGACGTAGTACAATTCATTCAAAGAGGCAGCCACTCCAAAATCTATTTGCTCTGGGCAGGATTTTTGTTAGGAATGCAGACTTAATACACGCTTTCCCAGAGGCACCTCACTGAGGGTCTCCTTTCGTACACTGGGGAGGCCATGGCACCTGCTGATCACCCTTACCTCTGCCACTCAGGGTCAACTCCGTTGCTCCCCATGGGGCTCCTTTCACTGTTCTGTTTGGTCTAGGGCTGACCCCTTAGCAGGTGGTTTTCTAACATCAGACTTCCAGCATCACTTCAGATCAGCACCTCCTGCTGTGAGTGTCCGTGAGCAAGTTATTTACCTCTTCTGTGTCTTTGTTCCTCCCCTGTAAGAGCAGAACAGAATGAAAACAGTTTTGGTTGGTGTGGAGGCTGGATAGGAAAGCACTTAGCAGGGTGCCTGGCTGAGGGCTCCATAAGCTCCAGTTCTATGTAAGGACTCCCTTCCCTAGTGATGGAAACATGCCTCCAGTCTTCCTTTTTTTTTTTTTTTTTCGTTTTTTTGTTTTGTTTTTGCCAGTGCTAGGGCTTGAACTCAGGGCCTGAGCACTGTCGTGGGGCTTTTTTTGCTCAAGGCTAGCACTCTACCACTTGAGCCACAGTGCCACTTGTGGCTTTTTCTGTTTATGTGGTACTGTGGAATCGAACCCAGGGCTTCATGCCTGCAAGGCAAGCACTCTACCACTGAGCCTCTTCCTTTGTTTTAAAAAGCCCTTTATTTCTGCCCCTGGCTATACCCTCCTTCCTAGTAGAGAGTTTTCTGGTTTTGTTTCTTGCTGCTGTTTCTCAGACCATGGTGAGACATAGCCTGTCTTTTTGTGGGATTCCCAAAGTAGACTCCATGTTGGTGATCGCGGTTTCCTAGACTCATTTCAGGATTCTGATGTTGAGCAGCGTCAATCAGAGCACTGGCTTTGTAATTATATAAACCTGCCACTTATGGGTCACCTGAGCAGCCTCGTTCTAACCTCAGGCAAGGAGAGAAGTTACCTCATAAATTACGTCATGGACTTAAAGCCCTTAGCACAGGACCTGGTGTGTAAGAAACACCTAAGTACCTGCCTCCATTATCACTATCCGAACAAAACATTTCTGGAGAATCACACTGTACCCCATGATCAAGCCTTAAGCCTAATTAAGAGGTGGGATCTCTTTCAGGAAAGAAGTGGATTGCCTTAATTTAGTATGATGATACTGTGATCCCATGCACACAAACTCTTAATTGGGAGTTTTATATGGCTTTGGTAAAAAAAAATTTTTTTTTTAAAGATACTACTTACTAAATACATTTGGGCAGAGAAGCATTGCCGACCTAAAGTGTGGAGTATAGAGAAAAAGGAGTCACAGGACCTGACTATCTAGTAACTATGCAGTCTGGCTAGCAAATTTCCCTTGGTTTTTTTAGACAAGTCTCACTGTGTAGCCCAGGCTGGCTTCAAATTTTCTATCCTTTTGCCTTAGCCTCCTGAGTACTGGTATTGTAATGTACCATACCTGGCCAGAAAAAGAAAAGGAAGGGAGGGAGGGAGGGAGGGAAATAACTTTTTTTAAATAAGTAGCATGGACCTTGTGACTAGGCCTCCCTCAGAAGCTTTTGCTGGGAATATACATTAAGCAGAGCAAGCAATGCTGGTCCCATTATGTCCCATCATGAACAAACGACTGAACAAAGACTTGAAGTGAGAGAGGCTGAGGGAAGCCATCAAGTACAAACCCCCATTCCCTCCCCATTGTACAATGGGGAGGTAGAGCATAGAAAAGAAACTTGCCCCTGATGCCCCAGCCATCCCATTGTGGAAATTTTCTTCTAAGGTCCCTCACTCTATCTAGCATCCTTTCAAACAGACCAGGATCCCAACCCTGAAGGAACATCATTCTGCAGCATTAATGAAAGTCACCAGGAAGTTCTTCCTAGATGCAGAAACCATTCCCCCTCCTGTCTTCCCTCCACACCTTCTACCACTAAGAGCAATATCCTCTGTCACACATCTGTTAGTCCTGACAAAACAACAAACAAGTGGAAGTCTATAGTGCTGGTCCACAGATTCCCTAGTATGAGTGTTTAGAAGAACTTCTTGCAGCACCCTCAGCTGGAGATGCTGGTTCTATGCATCAGAGATAGGTCCTGAGAATATGTATTGATGGGTTCATTTACATGATTCTTAGAGCCAAGAAAGTTTGGAGAAAGCCAGAGTCAAGCCAGGCTACCAAAGGCTTTTGCCTTTGGTAATCCATTTGCTACACTGTGCTGTTCCTATAGCACAGAATTCTCCCAGAAGAACCGAATTCTGGGCACACATGACATCTCAGACATGTTGACCTACTTTAGGAAATGATTTCAGTGGAAGACACCCAGCCTCGCCTGGCTGACATTAACGTCTGTCTCTCTTTGGCTTTGTGCTTAGACTGAAGAACCTGGAGCTGGCTGCGGTGAAAGGATCAGACGTCCACGTGAGGATGCTGGCAGCCCCTATCAATCCATCTGACATAAATATGATCCAAGGTAACCTTGGTTTCGGGAGCTTATGTTAATTGGCTTTTTCAATCTGCTGCCACCTCATTTCTGTCCCTTCTCAGGTGTGGTGGGTGTGACATTCCTGTGATTAGCTGAAGCTGTTCACCAGAGGAGCCAGCTGCAGTGTTCTCCTTCTGACCTCTCTCCTCAGGACCCTCAGGCTTTGTGAGAGGCAGAAAGGGTGCAGTGGAGAGTAAAGTGAGCCCCAGGAAACTGCTGGGACATGACTAGGCTACTTCCTGGGATTTTTTTCCTCCTAAGTCTGAGCAGTGTTAAAGAGGATTAGCCCCCTAGTCAGGAAATTGAGGCTACAGCTTGGTTAGGTAGACACCCTGTTAAAACCCAGGTGGGCTCAGGTCTGACTGACTCCAAAGTCTGAGTCCTCTCACTGCCCAGGCCTGACTAGATGACCATCTGTGCTCTTCTCCCTCAGGGAACTACGGCTTCCTTCCCAAGCTGCCTGCTGTCGGAGGGAACGAAGGCATCGGGAAGGTGGTAGCCGTGGGCAGCAGTGTAACTGGGTTGCACCCAGGAGACTGGGTGATCCCAGCAAGTGCTGGTTTGGGTGAGTTTCCCCAAGTGTGAAGAGCCTTTTCATTCATTCAGATGCTGTTTTGCTCACTCTGGAGACTCCTACTCATTGGCTTAGTGTAACTAAGCAATGTGGATGCATTAGTAAGTTCGTAGAGATGGGAACTGAGTGAGGAGTGCAGAATTCTATTTCTTTTGCTCTGGAAGAATCACTGCTCAGGGGAGCTGTGATTCTCTGAATCTCTAAACCCTTGTTCTAAAGTTCATGGAGAACACAAATCATGTAGGCCCTACCCTCCAGGAGCTTCCATTCTAATTGAAGAAGTCTGTAAACCCATAACCTTAATAAAGGGAATGGCCCAAGTACACAGGAAGTAGAGGTGACTCTATGTGCATGTGTGTATAAGAAAGTACTAGAGAGCTAGCAATGTGACTTAGTGGTAGAGTGCTTGCATAGCATGCATGAAGCCTTGAGTTCGATTCCTCAGTACCACATGAGCAGAAAAAGCCAGAAGTGGCACTGTGGCTCAAGTGGTAGAGTGCTAGCCTTGAGCAATAGAAGCTCAGGGACAGGGCCCAGGCCTTGAGTTCAAGCCCCAGGATTGGCAAAAACAAAAAGGAAAAAAAAGTACTAGACCGAGAGAGGCAAAGAGAAACAGTCCTAGAGAAGGGTCAGAAAAAACATTGTGGAGGATGTTTCATTAGCATAGGTCTTTGATGGATTGGTTTTGTTAGGTAGAGATGAGCCAAAACTCATCTCATGCAGAGGATTTAAAATGAGCCCATACAAAGGTGAGTTTGGGAAATGGTAGAAAACCAGTGTGTCTCCAGAAGAGGATTTGTATGTGGAGAGGGTTGCAAGAAAGAGAAGGTTAAAAAGATGAAGAGGGGCTGGGTGCCAGTGGCTCACACCTGTAATCCTAGCTACTCAGGAAGCTAAAGTCCAGAGGATTACAATTCAAAGCTAGTCTATTCGAAGCTAGCTTTTCTAAATGGAAAGTTCCACAAGACTCCATCCCAAAAACCACTATCAAAAAAAAAAAAAAAAAAAAGCAAAAAGTCAGGTTGGAGGTATTGGTAAAGCACTAGCTGAGCAAGCAGATACAAACCACTGAGTTCAAACTCCAGTAATACCAAAAAAAAAAAAGGAAACCAAAAGGTGAAAGCAGCCACAAACAGGGCAAGGCCTTCCTTACAGAGCCACCCTAAGGAATATGGCACTGTTCTAAGCACTTCACACATATGAACTCAGTCATTCCCCCAACATGAGGTAAATACTTTATCCTCCGCATTTCACAGATGAGATAAATGTCAGGGATTAAGTAATGTGCCTGAAGTCACCAGTCATAAAAGAGCAGTGCCAAGATTGAAATCTATCTGATATGTACCATTCATAGATGACCACCTGCAGCTTGAGGTTTGCATCACCCTGAGAACAAACAAATAAGCACACTCCACATGACCATCTGCTGTCTCTCCCCTTGCCCAGCCATGAAGCAGTCACTGGCTGGACCACTCCAGTTATCCTGGTTGAGTCATTGTTCACTTCTGTGGTACAGAGGGTGGGGCCTTGTGGTAGACAGCTCAGAGGTTAGGAAAGAACACCTCTAGAGAGAGAAAGGTACTACACAGGGAAACGGCTGTGACAGATGTTTACAAGCTCTTCTCTGAGTTCAGGGAAGATGCCAAGAATAGCTCCACCCTCTCCCACACCCACCTGGCACTGAGAAAGCCCAGCCATCTGAACACTTAAGAGAGGTATAGGACTTCTGAGATACTGCTAAGCCCTAAAAATCCATGTCAAAGGCTGAATTGCTGTGCCAGAAGGGGACATAGAAAGCACCTTTATTTCATACATGGAAAGTCCTACACTAGGTGTTTGGCACTTAGTACCATAAGTGTCTCTGAGATAAAAGGGCATAATGTGTATGAAAATTTGACTACCAGGCTAAATGAAAATGCTTAGGTACCTCCTAGATTCCAGAAAATCCTTTACTTTACCAACTCTGACTTTCTCAGCTACAGAACTACTCTAGGACTGGCAGGACCTTTGATGAGTGTTCCTGCATCCCTGCCCTACCTTCCCACCTCCACTCCCCTCCCCAGCCCTGAGGCCCACATTGTCTCCCTCCTCATGAAGCACGGTTTTTTTATTGCCTGGGTCACTCTCTGCTTCCCACAGCTGGGGCACATGATTACAGATGCTGTTAGAATCTCAGCAGCTGGCTAGTTCATGGGCAGCCAAGAGCTTTAGAAGCTGATTCACAAGTCCCTACGATGTCCCAGACACCAAGCACTGGACTAACAAGACTCAGAGCAGTTTCTCCAAGGTGATAGAGAGAGAACACAGCGGAGAAAAGGATTGTCTGACTCCGAGGCCCATATTCTCTGTCTTCCTCAAGCAGCCTCCTGCCTGTGAGAGGAGCCTCCCTGTCACCCATCCTCACCAGATCCTGTCGATTCTGCTTCATCCCCACTGCCAGTAGTCAAGTTCAAACCCCTAGAAGGCTATCACCTTAGAACTCATCCCCTGACCACTATCTCTCCCATACTACCCTCTCTCCTAGTCTTTCCCCCCAGCAACCTAGAGATCTTAAAGATGTTAGAGCTCCTTGATCCCCCTCAAGGCTTGTCAGAGATTTCCCCTTCTAAATAAATCTACTGTCCACTATGGCCCTGAGCTCTGTGTTCTCAAGACAGTAGGCTGTTACCCATAAGCAACATCAATCTAAACACTAGAAAATAGTTTTTTTTTTCTTTTTACTAAAATTGAGCAGAATGGATACAAATAGCAGAGTATGGCATATGCAGTACATTAGTCACTTTCTGTGGCTGTGACAGAATCAGCTTTAGAAAGAGGAAATTTGTTGTGGCTTACAGTCCTGAAGTCTCCAGTCCATGACTGGTTGGTCTGGGCATATTACTTTGGGCCTATAGCAACCCAGGATATCAAAGTAAGAGCACGTGTCAGCGGAGGCCTACGGTAGCTGGGAAGCAAAGAGTAAGAAGAGGGCCTGGGTCCCAATTATCACCTTCAGGAAAACCCCTTCAATGCATGCACCCTTGGGGAACATTTAAGATCCAAACTTTAGCACATAATAAAGATAAATATTGCTCTATAGCACTTAGACTTCTGTTATGTACATCTACTAAAATATGTTTGTAAGACTCATGGTTACCCTGGCTCATGATCAGGACCATCCACCTGACATTCCTCTAGCCTGTGCCCCATCATCAGTCCCATCAGCTCTGTCCCTCCAGTGGCTCTTCCAGCTCTCCGCCAGCGTGGGCTCTTCAGTATTATGCTTATACTCGAGTGGTTATAGCATCTCCATCTTGTATCTCTTTACCTGTCACCTCCTCAGAAAAGACATCCTTGATTCCCACCTAAAGTAACACCACTGCTATTGTCTCTATAATTCTTAGGTCTACTTGTTTGTTTCTGGCCTGTTTTACCATAATAGAGTAGCAGTAAGGGATATAACAGCACAGAGCTCGTTACTTGGGACAAGGAGGCAACAGGAGACCATATCTGTTAAAAAAAAAAAAAGCAATATTGGTATAGTGGTAGAATGCCTGCCTATAATGTACCAGATTCTAGGGTCAAACCCCAGCAACACAAAAATAAAAAGAAACTTGGGCGCTGGTAGCTCATGCCTGTAATCCTTACTACTAAGGAGGCTGAGATCTGAGAACCATACTTCAAAGCCAGCTTGGGTAGGAACGTCTGTATGACTCTTCTTATCTCCAGTTTACCTCAAAAAGTCAAAAGTGGAGCTCTGGTTCAAGTGGTAGAGCGCTAGCACAAAAAAGCTTAGTGATATGCCCAAGCTCAGAGTTCAAACCCAGGACCAACAAAAATAAATAAAATGAAATTTAAAAAAGAGAGGGGCTGGGAAGGTGGCTCAGTGGTATAGTGCTTTCCTTGCATGCATGAGGCCCTGGATTAGATTCCTCAGTACCACATAAGCAGAAAAAGCCAGAAGTGGGCTATGGCTCAAGTGGTAGAGCACTACCCTTGAGCTAAACAGCTGAGGGACAGTGCCCAGGCCCAGAGTTCAGGCCCCACGAATAGCAAAAAACTTAAAAAATAAAAGAGAAGAAGGAAAGGAAGCACAAACAAGTGAAGGTCTATGTCCAGAGCCTGGTGCAGGCAACACATGTTTCAGCTCTGCTCACATGGCCAGGAAGCTGTGGGCAGGTCATTCCATCAATCTCCATGTCAGATAAGGGGGTAACAGATGGGGGGTGTTGAAACTCAGTAAGGGTCTTCTTGGTACTGAAATTCTGCATTGCTTTGGTTTGGAACTAGAATGTGGGCTGGAATAACAATCATTTCTTTCCAGTGGCACAGGATTTGTTCATATCCTCTTATCTCCTTTCATTTATATACAGCCAGCTACAGGGGAGGTCAGTTTTGAGTGTCAAATCTGTTGGCTTCCACCTTGACATTTTTTTTCTGTAATCTCCCAAGTCAGCCCTTGAGGAAGCTATGGAGGGTGGAGAAGGGGCTTCTCAGAGACCAGCAGTTAGTGGTCCTCAGCCCCCTGTACTGGGACACACACAGACACACACACACACAGACAGACAGACACACACACGCCCTGCCCCAGCCCCATCTTGGAACATTACCTGAGTTGGCTGTCCTAGCTGCTCATGTACCCAGGAAGGACGCCCAGGGTTGGGTGTGCAGAAGATGCCTCCTCACTGCTCTGCCTGTCCTCTGACTCAGGAACCTGGAGGACAGAGGCCGTCTTCAGTGAGGAAGCACTGATCCAAGTTCCCAATGACATCTCTCTTCAGAGTGCTGCTACCCTGGGTGTCAACCCTTGCACGGCCTACAGGATGTTGATGGACTTCGAGCAGCTGCAGCCAGGTAGGGGATTGGGGGAGTGGGGATGGGGGGAGCTGGCCCAGGACTCCCCAGCAGGTGTGACTCAATTCTGGTTCTGCAATCATGGGAACTTGCCGAGGAAGACTCTAGGAGGACAGCAGCCTTTAACCTACGTGAGTGTGTTGTTGCTTTTACTGAGAAAAGTGTCTAGGTTCCTAGAAAATGTGCTGAAGTCTCACTAGGAGCAGGCTCTGGGAAACTGCTAAAAGGTCACATTCTCTAGAGCTTGGGATGGAATGCTGTCACCCAGCAAAAATGCATTGAGCTGTGCTAAGCTCTGGGGACACAAAGCCAGACAAGATAGACGCCGTCCCTGTGTTTTCAAAATGCTGAACTTTGTTTTAGGGATTCTGCCCACCATTTATACAGCAATTTCTGTTCACATAGTGCTTTCACACGCATAATCCCCATGGACACACATGGAGTATGTCACGTCTTCAAAACACTGAGGTTGAAGTCCAGCCCCAGCCAGACAAACTTAAGGCTGGACCCAGTCTTAACTTTCTCTCACCAAGTGAATTCAAGTTCCACTTGGAAGATGGAGAAGAGCTCTGAGAACTGATGGATCATTGCAGCATTACACTTAGTACAGGACCTGGCCTAAAGTGCTGTGGTATAGTGACCATGAGCTGCTTTTAGTAGTCTTTGGAGGGTTTTTTTTGTTTGTTTTTAATCAATGGGGAAAGAGGCCCAAAAGTTTGGCTGTTTGAATAAAATCATGCAGTAAGTAAACAGCAAAGCTAGGCATTTTCTTGGTGCTCCACTGAAAAGCTCTACTGCCAGGTCCCAGGCTTCTTTTAATCCTGAGGCCTCCATCTCTTGCCCTATGCTAGGAATCCTGTCTGGAAGTCAGGTCTACAAGGGGGCTTGACTTTTTCTCTTCCTGGCTCCACAGGGGATTCTGTCATCCAGAATGCATCTAACAGTGGAGTGGGGCAAGCAGTCATCCAGATCGCCGCAGCCCTGGGCCTAAGGACCATCAACGTGGTCCGAGACAGGTGTGTGGGGAGGACTAATTCCAAGGCCAGGACTTGTGCCTTTCCACCTCATGATCCTGTAGGTGCCCACATCTCCACCAGGTGGCACTTTTGTACAAACAAACGGCCTACTTTATGGATAAAGTTGGATGCTAAAGCAGATGAGTCAGCCCCCATAAATGAAGTTAAGGTGACCTTTGACTGTATCTCTAAGATGTATAGACAGCAAGGAGGAGATGGAGACTACTCGTACTAAACAGCCAAGAGTGGTGGAGACTTGACTTAGGATGTATTTGCAAAACCACAGTTCACATTTAGGAAAGATTTGAGTTGCCGTGTATGTGGCTAACGCCTGTAATCTTAGGTACTCAGGAGTTTGAGATCTGACTATCATAGTTCGAAGCCAGCCTGGGCAGGAAAATCCTTAAGACTCTATCTGGAATTAATCACACACACATACATATACACACACATAAGCACATGCATGCGCACGCGCGCGCGCGCGCGCACACACACACACACACACACACACAGTTGGAAATGAAGTTGTGGTTCAAGCAATAGAGTGCTAGGTATGAGCAAAAAGCTCAGAGATAGTATCCCAGCCCTGAGTTCAATTCCTAGGATTGGCACTAAAAGATAAAAGAAAAAACAAAGGTTTTAAACCTGGGCTATTCCTCCTGTGAACTGTCTAGCCAGAGTTCCCTGTCCCCTTAGGTTTTTAACTAAACTCAGCTGTGAAGGAGATGGGGCAGGTTTGTCATCTCTCTTACAGATGAGGAAGCTGAAGTTTCAGAGAGGAAGCAGCATGCTCAGGAAGACACGCAAGTCAGTAACAGATTCTTTCTATTGTTTACCCAGTTCATTTAACCCTCTTCATTCCAACAATATGGCCGTGTCTTATCATGGAAGTCCAGTCTTAGGAGAATTAATACTTACTTCAATTCCTGGCTCCTCAGTGACACTAGCAAAAATGATTGATTGTCTTGGACAGAGAAGCAGGGCACCACCCATTCCTGGGCTAGTTTATGTTTACACAATACTCTGAAGAGCCCCTTGAAAAGAGGAAACTAAGTTTGTCATTTCAGTGGAAAAAACTCGGAAGTGGGTTGGCTTCTCCTAGGTACACATGGTTTCTAGCATCCATGAGCTGGCAGGAGCTACAGAAATCTCCCAACCTGGCTAGGTGCCAGTGACTCATGTCTGTAATCCTAGCTGCTCTTGAGGCTGAAACCTGAGGATTGCTATATGAAGCCAGCCAGGGAAGGAAAATCTGTAACTCCTCTCTCCAATTAACCACCAAAAAGCTGGAAATGGAGCTGTGAACCAAGTGGCAGAGTACCAGCCTTGAACAAAAAAACCTAAGGGACATGGATTCAAGTCCCAGTACATACACAGACACATACACATCTCTCAGTCTGGCTCTGTCTAGTTGGAATGGCCAGTGAGGAAATGAAGCCAAGAGCTGTTGGGACGTGACTAATTTATATGACTGGCCCCTGCTCCAGACCTGGCTAGACCCCAATCCCAGTTTCCCAAAACAAAGTATGGCTTCTTCCAGCTGTGGGAGAAGGGCCCTGAAGCCTTTGTGGCAAGAAAGCCAGCAGGTATGACCAGAGACCTTGGATTGTGTTTGGTTTCCAGACCTGACATCCAGAAGCTGATGAACAGACTAAAAGACCTGGGGGCCGAGCACATCATCACAGAGGAGGAACTAAGGAAGCCTGAAACAAAAAACTTCTTCAAGGTACCAGGAAGAGGGCATTCCTCTAATGGCAGGCCCTTCTCCCCACAGAAAGCTGACTTAGGTAGAAAAGCTGGACACTAGTCCCTTGCTCCTGTGTGAAAAACCACCTTTGCCTTTTCTTAGAAGAATAAAGCCCATGCCTCCCAACCAGGGGACAGTGTGTGTGAACTGCCCCGATGCGTGAGGGAGGCAAGAGAAACAAAGCTCAGGAAACACTGTATGACCTGCAGTCTTAACATCTACTTAACGTCTACAGTTTCAACCCCTTCAAGGGATATGTGTCTTAGAACTGAGAGAGAGCCTGAGGAAACAGGCATAGAGAAGGAAGAGAAAGAAACCACATTCCTTCTATCTCTCACTTTTCCTCCCAACCCTAGAAAAGTTCAACAAAGTAGTTGTCAGCAGTTTTGTTTTTGTGCTAGTATCAGAGCTTGATCTTAGGGCTTTGCACTCTTGCTTGACTTTCTTCCTCACAGCTGGTACTCTACCACTTCAGCTATGTCTTCTGCCCACATTTTGCTAGTTAACTGAAGACAGCATCTCAGACTTTTCCTCCCAGGCTAGTTTCAAACCATAATCCTCTGTTTCAGCCTCTTGAGTATCTAGGACTGTAGGCTTGAGTCACTGGCGCCCAGTTTTGCCACCAGTTTTATAGATGAAGAAACCCAGACTTAGGACCAAATAGTTACAAATGATGTGTTAACACTGGCCCCAGACAGATATCCCTTCCAGAACATTCACCCACAGCAGGCCCAGGGAGTAAGCAAACCCTGAGTCTCTTTGAATTAGACCATCTGGAAAAACCAAACCCACACTATCAGGAGTGTTTGGAGAACGTTTGTGAAGGTTGAGGTTAGACATTAAACAGAGGAGCATTCAGGAAGCTGAGGTCCCTTGAAATTGAATGTAGATGCTTCTTGTCTTTTCCTTCCCAGAAGAAATTAATTTTGAGCCAATTCCAGAAATGGATAATAGGACAAAATTGTTAAAGGGCCTGAGCAGAGCACAAAGCAAATTCAAAGGCATGAACACTCCACTTCCTTTACTCCTTCCTTCTGACAACCTGTGGGTCAGGGCAATACTGTTTGTAGCAGTCGTCAGGTCCCTCCCCCTCTCTCCCCCTCCCCCCCTACTCCCCCATCCTGCAGCAACCTAACAACTTCCTCACTGAAGGGTCCTTATTTTCCAGGACATGCCCCCTCCACGGCTTGCTCTCAACTGTGTTGGTGGAAAAAGCTCCACAGAACTGCTGCGCCACCTAGCGTAAGTTCATCAGGCTGCAAGTCCAATTTTCACAATCCCTCCAGATCGCTACCAAGGAAGACTGAAATCGCTACCCAGGAAGACTGAAAACTGACCAACAGACCAGGTCCAGTGTCAACATGAGCCAGCATAGAGAAGGAAATTAAGTCTTCTGTGGAGACTGAAAAGTCTGACCAGCTTCAGTTTTACCAGGGACCGCAGAATTAGATAGCTGTACTGTCTTCCATAGAGGAATGGCCAAGAACTTATAACCTAGGGCCCTTTTAAAGGTCACTGAGCCAAGCACCAGTGGCTCATGCCTATGATCCTAGATACTCAGGAGGTTGAGATCTGAGGATTGAGGTTCAAAGCCATCCCAGGCAGGAAAGACTGAGATTTTTTTTTTTTTTTTTTTTGTCGGTCGTGGGGCTTGAACTCTGGGCCTGGGCGCTGTCCCTCAGCTCTTCAGCTCAAAGCGAGCGCTCTACCACTTGAGCTACAGCGCCACTTCCGGTTTTCTGGTGGTTTATTGGAGATAGGAGTCTCACGGTCTCTCCTGCCCGGGCTGGCTTTGAACCGCGATCCTCAGATCTCAGCCTCCTGAGTAGCTAGGATTACAGGCGTGAGCCACCAGCGCCCGGCAAGACTGAGATTTTTATCTCCAATAAACTACTCAGAAAACCGGAAGTGGTGCTGTGGCTCAAGTGGTAGAGTGCTAGCCTTGAGCTGAAGAGCTGAGGGAGTGCCCAGGCCCAGAGTTAAAGCCCCATGACTGACAAAAAAAAAGTCACAGAGCCTGAATTTGGTAGTTTTACCAGTTTTTTTTTTTTTTAAGTTGTCTTTCAAGACACACATGCCTATTAAAAAAAAAACATTTGGGAAGGGATATATAAATACAAGGGGAAAGGTGAACATATAAATTTTTGCCCCTCTCCATAGCCAAGAAGAAACTCTGTTGCTGAGGTTAGCTGTGCACATTCTATTCTTCCCACTAATGTAGATTTCTTCAGCTGTAGGGCAAAGTGCCTGAAAAGACTCTGCCCAACTAGTATAGGTCCTCCCAGGTGAATCAGGTAAGGGATATGGAGAGCACTCATTAGCTCTCAAGTGCTGAGATTGCTTCACTGAGGGCAGGAAGAGAAACCACCCAGCCAAAGAACTGCATTGCAGTTGACTCACAGTGCCATACTCTCCCACCACCCCTAGGCCATGGCTGCAAATCCACATTCCTTCTATTTTTTTTTCTCCATTTTGTGTTGAGGGTGTAACCCAGCATGCTAAGCACATATTCTACCACTGTGCTACACCCAACCCCCATGTCCATTTTATACTTAAAGAATAAGCAGCTCGGAGAGGGTAATCATCTTGTGCAAGGCTTAGTAGGCAGGACAGCCAGGCTTGACCCGGAAGGTTTCATCCCAAGCAGCCTCTGAACTCCTATTATGTAGTTTACGGTCTTCCATCTATTGTCCCAAATATGCCTCCAGTCATCTTGAGCAACAAACTCCAGAGAGGGGAACAAAGGTTAAGTCTAGTAACCTGGATTCCTCCCTCATTAGGACTGGGGTGTGTGTGTGTTTGTGTGTGTGTGTGTGTGTGTGTGTGTGTGTGTGTGTGTACATACAGGTGCATATACAGGTGTACACACTTAATTTTTTTCACTCAAGGCTGGTGTTCTACCAGCCTCCAGTCATCTTGAGCAACAAACTCCAGAGAGGGGAACAAAGGTTAAGTCTAGTAACCTGGATTCCTCCCTCATTAGGACTGGGGTGTGTGTGTGTTTGTGTGTGTGTGTGTGTGTGTGTGTGTGTGTGTGTGTGTGTGTGTGTGTGCATACAGGTGCATATACAGGTGTACACACTTAATTTTTTTCACTCAAGGCTGGTGTTCTACCATTTGAGCCACACCTCCACTTCTGGCTTTTCAGTGGTTAGTTGGAGATAAGAGTGTCACAGATGCTGGGCATCATTGGCTCACACCTGTAATCCTAGCTACCCAGGAGACTGAGATCTGAGAATTACAGTTCAAAGCTAGCCTCGGCAGGAAACTCGTGAGACTCTTATCTCCAATAAACCACTCTGAAAACCAGAAGTGGCTCTGTGGCTCAAGTGGTAGAGCGGCTCGCCTTAAGCTAAAGAGCTGAGGAATAGTGCCCAGGCCCAGGGTTCAAGCCCCACGACCAACCAAAAAAAAAAAAAAAAAAAGAGTTTCAGGCCTTCCTGCCTGGGCTGCTTTGAACCATGATCATTAGACCTCAATTTCCTGGGTAGCTAGGATTACACACAGGCATAAGCCAACAGTGTCTGGTTTCATTAGCTTTTTATTTTTTTATTTTTGGACAATTGTGGGGCTTGAACTCAGGGCCTGGGCACTGTTCTACCACTTTGAGCCACAGTGCCACTTCCTTACTTAACTTTTAAAATTACATTATCCTCACTTCTGCTTGAGACAGCAAGTACTAGAGGGAACATATCCTGCAATGCAAGGACAATCATTGTCCCCTACATTGTCCCATCATGACTGTAGAATTATTTCATGGTACTGACAGTTAGGATGAGCATGAGAGGTGAAGAGACAATGTCTGGACCATTTTCAGTACATTGTCCAAAGTCGCATTCCTATAAGCAGTGTGGAGCAAGCTGAACCTGGCTTTGGACTCATCTCCAGCACTTAGTCCTTAGCCCTGGCTAAGCTTCCTGGTCTTCTGGGGAGTATGGCAGTTTTTAGTTGTTTTGTTTTGTTTTGCTGTATTGAAACAGGGTCTCACAATATATCTAAGCTAGCCTGAAACTCCATAGGTAGCCCAGACTAGCTTCAAACTCATGATTCTCCAACCTCAGCCTCCAATGCTGGGATTACAAGTGTATACCACTATAACTGGTGTGTATGTATGTGGTTTTTATGTTGCTAGAGATCAAATCCAGGACCTTACACATGCTAGGCAAGCATTCTACTCAGTTACATTCCCATTCCTGTGTACTGTTTTCTTTAAAATAACTTCTTGCCTCCTAATTGTGTAGGTCAAAGGTCAGGCCTAGAAATCTGCATTTTAATCCTTCCTGGGGATTCTGGAAAGAGCTTTAGGAATCAGGGTTGAAAAAAAATCAGTGTTGTGGTGGGTTTCCCCAGGAGTACTACTGATCATGTCAGTTTCTTTCTGCCTGCACGTACTCTTTGTTCCCTTTGGACTCTGCAGGCCCGGAGGAACCATGGTGACCTATGGAGGGATGGCCAAGCAGCCTGTCACAGCCTCTGTGGTAAGCTAGGGGGAAACATGCCTGCAGACCAGGGTCCAGAGGCCTCCACAGCCTCTTCCCTGCCTCTGCAGGTGTCTACACTCAGGCTTAACCCCCATGTCTGGAGGGATTCTGTGCCCTTAAGAAGTACCTGAAGTTCTCACCCTCATCCCAGCATGTCCCCCCTGTGTCCACAGAGCATGCTCATTTTTAAGGATCTCAAACTTCGAGGCTTCTGGTTGTCCCAGTGGAAGAAGAACCACGGTCCAGGTAAGTAGATGATGATCTGATGCCTAAGGTCATAGGAGAGAGCAGTGTCTACCATGACTTCAGAAGCCACCAGCTTCTCTGAGCCCAACAGCGTTGAATGGATGCCAGCCCCAAAACAGGATAAAGGAAAACAGCCTCCAGCCACAGCTGTAGTCAGCAGCTAGAGTAACTCGAAGTATCAAATAAGTAGCAGGGCATGGGTGGCTCACACTTGTAATCCTAACTACTCAGGAGACTGAGATCTGAGGATCATGGTTCATAGGCACCATAGGCAGACAAATCCACAAGACTCTTATCTCTAGGTGATCAGCAAAAAAGCCAGAAATAGCCTCACTGGTGGCTCACACATGTAATCCTAGCTACTCAGGAGGCTAAGATCTGAGGATTGTGGTTCAAAGCCAGCCCAAGCAGGAACCTCCTAGAGATTCTTTGTTTTGTTTTTGTTCTCGCCCCCTCACCCCCCATCATGGGGCCTGAACTCTGTGCCTGAGCACTGTCCCTCAACTATTCAGCTCAAGGTTAGCACTCTACCACTTGAGCCACAGCGCCACTTCCAGCTTTTTCTGCTTATGTGGTGCTGAGGAATCGAACCCAGGGCCTCATGCATGCAAGGCAAGCACTCTACCACTCTGAGCCACCTTCCCAGCCCCTCCGTGAGATTCTTATCAGAAAACCACTCAGAAAACTGTAAGTGGCTCTGTGGCTCAAGTGGTAGAGTGCTAGCCTTGTGCTGAAAAGCTGAGGGACAGCACCCAAGCCCAGAGTTCAAGCCCCACGAGTGACAAAAAAGCCAGAAGTGGAGGTATGGCTCAAGTGGTAGAACACTAATCAGTAGCAAAAAAAGGCAATCGAGAGCCCAAGATCTTGAATTCAGGCCCCAGTACCAGCATGCATGAACGCCCATGTGTGCACACACACACAACACACACACACACCACTGTCCTTATCCTAAAGGGCTGACAGTAGGAAAGACTACCAAATAAAGAAAGCAGGCTGGGCATGGTGACACACACCTGGAATCCCAACATTCAAACAGCTGAGGCAGGAGAATTACAAGTTCCAGACCAACTTTCAGCTACAGGCCTACACAAGGAAATACCATTCCCAAAAAAGGGCTAGGCACAGTGGTTCACACCTTTAATCCCAGCTATTTGGGAGGCAAAAATTTGGAAAATTGGGGTTCAAGGCCAGCCCAGACAAAAAGCAAGACCCCCCATTTTGGCCAGCAAGCTATTTTTATTACTTTTGTTTTGTTTTTTGGTCAGTGGTTTATTGGAGATAAGAATCTCACAGAGTTTCCTGCCCAGCTGGCTTTGAACCTCAATCCTCAGATCTCAGCCTCCTGAGTAGCTAGGATTACAGTCGTGAGCCATCGGCACTCAGCCCTATTATTTGTTTTTGAACTAGCGTCTCTTTAGTTTTTCCCAGGCTGGCCTTGAATGAGATCTTCTTGCCTTTGCCTCTTTACGTAGCTGAACTGTGCCACCATGCCCAGCTCTTGAGGCTTTACTGGCATTCAGCACCAGCTCCTGCCCACAGCCCTATTGTCCTGTCTGACGTCCTCCCATCTCCCACAGATGAGTTCAAGAAGTTGATCCTCACTCTATGCAACCTCATCCACAACGGTCAGCTCACAGCTCCAGCCTGCTCTGAAGTCCCTCTGCAGGACTACCAGCGGGCTCTGGGAGCCTCAATGGAGCCTTTCGTGTCTTCAAAGCAGATTCTCATCCTGTGATCATCCTAGAGGAGCTGGAGGGAGGTGGGAGTGGAAGCAGACCAGTGGGGCTAGCTTTGGGTCTCTCCTTCAGGGCCCAGCCTTCTCAGCCAGGAGGATGGGGTGACCAGCCTCACTGTTGTTAATAAAGTCTGGACTTTAAGAACAAAGACTGTAAATCATCTCTGCAGACATGGTCCTGTGCAGCGGCCACCTCACAGCACTAAGAAGCCCCTGCACTGCTCTTCCCGCACCTGCTCCCCAGTGGGCATCTCCTCACCTCCCTGAAAGTAGTCTGGGTGGATGCTGGCAAGTGCAAAAGCTGCAATGTCTGCTCCTAGGCTGTACAAGCCTACAGAGAAGAGTTTCACAGAAAGGTTAGACTTGTTTCTTGGTAGCCTGTGGCTCTGCTCAAGCCTGTGGGATCAGCTATAAGGAAGAAATGCCAGAGTGAGGTCAGCCAGGCCCAAGGAACTGAGGACGGTGGTCTCAGGTGGCTGGCCCAGCCCTGTGGCACCTCCATTCTAACTGGAGAAATACGGTTACTCAACCAGAGTAACCAGAGGCAGTATTTCCCCTGGGGACATTTTTGGCTGTCCCAACTTTGGAATGGGTTGTAAGAAGCCAGTGGTGCTTGTAAACATCTTGCAGAGAAGACCACGGGTGCAACTCAGTGGTAGAGTATTTGACTACCCTGTATAAGGCCCTGGGCTGTGCCAGAAACCAAGTCTACAGTGCCTAAGCCAGCTCCCACAACAGAGTCATTGGATTAAAAGCGTCCATAGTGGTGCTGCTGCTGCTGCTGCTGCTGAGAAAACCTGATACACAATCCCCGGTGGAGTAGACAGATGGACCCTGAGAAATGAGCATCATTCAGAAGAGCTGCCTTAGTTGACTTTGATACTTAGTTGACTTTGTGTCATGATCCACTTGATCAAAGCAGAATATAACCTTGGTGATGTCTTCCTTGTTACCTGGCCCCTCGTACACATACACATTTCATATATGGAACATTCATTGAGTGCCTACTGTGCCCCTAAAGCTAGGGGTGCTCATGTTGTATAGCCTAGTACAAGAGATAGTATTAAACATGAGGCCACAGAAAGACCCGGGACCCCAACTCAGCCTGAGGCAATTAGGGAGAATTCCTGAAGGCAATTTTGTCCAAGCAGGCAAATGTGTATACCATGCAAAGGCCACAGCTTGTGGGAGTTTGGAGTCTGGCCCTTGGGAGAAAAGCATGTTATATAGGCTCTGACTGGAAGGAGGTGAGAACAGAGGTGGGAGCAGTGGCGGGAGGAAAATGCCAAGGGCCTTGTAGTCAGGACTGATGCTGAAGTCCTGAGGGATTTTGAGCAGCAGGGTAGTAATGGAAAAACTGGATGGGAGGTTTAATTTCATGCAAGTGTGTATACATGCCCCAAGAGTACTTGCCTTGCTGCTGGGAGCTTCTTGTAACCTCTGGAGAAAAACCTCAGCTTGAGCCTGTGACCAGGCTCTCAGAATCAACCCCACTCTCCCCTTTTTCATTTCCCAATCTGTCCTGTACGTTCTGGGACAAGCAGTTTGTATAGGATTCAAATGTGGGCAAGGGAGAAGGCCACAGGGGAGGGGAGGCTGCATGGAGGCTAAAGGAGTGAAAGTTACTTGAGGGTCTTAGGGGTTAGGGGACTGACAGGCCTGAGGCCAAGAGGAGGCTGGCAGGAAGCATTCCTGACACCAAGCTTAATGTTGCAAAGGACAGTGATGAGAATTTGACCCTGCCTTTGGGAGTCTGGAGGTATGACATTTTGGGCTAGTCTTAAAAGGATAACTGAAATTCACCCAAGGAAGGAAGACAAGCATTTCATACTCAGAGACCAGGTAAGCAAAATTACAGAGGCAGGGCTTTTAGGTGGGAACTTGGTAGGCTGGACTCCACCGGATTTCTCTACCTTCCTTCCAAGTAACAAGGTTGACCCATAGTGTCAGCAGAAGTGTTAGGTGTGGGTTTCTTAGGAAGCTCTTTAAAATGTACATACTGTGCATCTTGTATCTCTCTCCCCTTCCAATTTCCTCTCAGCAAGAGTAAAAATATGATTCCTGGGGTATACACTACCATGTTTGACCTTGGCAAGAATGGGACAGAGACCCCAGCTGCCTACTTCAGGGCCCTGTTACATGTGAGCAATAAGCCTGTACCTCACTGTAACCCCTAGTATGTGACATTTCACTGAACTATTCCTAAATGATACCATTCACTGTCTTATACCAAAATCAAGTTAGCCCATCTGAAGCACAAAAAGTTAACTGTGGCAAGTTATGATTCCCAATGAAGGAATTTAGTCTACTCATTGGTATTTAGGGACAAAAGATTTGTGAAACAGAAGAACCTGCTCTGGAAAAATCTCTGGCAGTATATTTAGAGACAATTTGGAAGAGGGAGGCTTTAAAGAAAGTTTAAAATTCTCAGGCTTGGGCTGGGAAGGTGGCTCAGTGGTAGAGCACTTGCCTTGTATGCATGAGGCCCTGGGTTCCATTCCTCAGCACCACATAAGCAAAAAGAGAAAAGCCGGAAGTGGCGCTGTGGCTCAAGTGGTAGAACGCTAGCCTTGAGCTGAAGAGCTGAGGGACAGCGCCCAGGCCCAGAGTTCAGGCCCCACGACCGGACCCCCCCCCCCCAAAAAAAAAATTCTCAGGCTTCTGAATTCTAGATAAATATACTTGCCCCCTCCCTGACCCTTCCACAGCCAAATTCTAATATTTGCCAACATTAAAAAGGCTAGTAGAGGAGGGGCTAGAAAGATAACTCAGTGGTAGAGTGCTTGCCTTGCATGCATGAGGCCCTGGGTTCAATTCCTCAGCACCACATGAGCAGAAAAAGCCAGAAGTGGCACTGTGGCTTAAGTGGTAGAGCGCTAGCCTTGAGCTGAAGAACTTGAAGGACAGCGCCCAGGCCCAGAGTTCAGGCCCCACAACCGGAAAAAAATTAAATAAAAAAGACTAGCAGAGGAAACAAAACAATGTCTCAGGGAATATAACTTCCGATGGATCATCAGCTCTTCTAACAAGTGAAGGAGACTTTATTTTCAGATTGAATAATCTGTGGAGTTAGTATGACTCTTCAGGTCCTCTAAGTAAACACCTTTGGTAAATAGGCTCTGGACTCCAGAACTAGAAGACAAACAAGTATTATTTCCTAAAGCAAAGCAAGTGTGCCTGAAGCCCTGCAGTGGCCTGATTGCCTCTCCTTGTCCTCTTCTGGGACCAACCACCCTGCAACTCCTACAGCCACTGCCACAATATTGGTAAGTGCCTGAGCCTTGGGAGATGAGCTAAGTCTGTTTTCCTCAAGGGAAGGACAGTTTCAGGAGAAAAGTTCTTGCATGAGCACACATGTTACAGGCATCACTGTTCTCATGCCTGAAGTGGTCAGTAACACACCCAACACACACAATGCCTACTGGCAGGCACCAAGCCCTAGGTAGAGCAATAGTCCCCTCCAGAACAGCCTGTAGCTGTAAGTAAGAAAATGCCTGGGTAGACATCAAGGCTAGCCCAAAGCAGACAATGGCATCTTCTGAAAGGGGAAGAAAGAAGCCTTGCTTTTTTTTGGAGGGGGGGGCGGGAGAGGGTCCGGTCGTGGGGCCTCAACTCTGGGCCTGGGCACTGTCCCTCAGCTCTTCAGCTCAAGGCTAGCCCTCTACCACTTGAGCCACAGGAATCGAACCCAGGGCCTCATGCATGCAAGGCAAGCACTCTACCACTGAGCCACCTTCCTGGTCCCAAGAAGCCTTGCTTTTATCCCTATAGCCATGCATAAATTTCAAATGCATTTTCCTTTTATTTTTCTTTTTTACAACTTTCTGATATCACTGAAATTTTAATATCACCAGCGACGAGGAAGCCACTAACAGGAGAAAGGAGTTCTTCCAGGTCACACAGAAGGCAAAGAGAGCTGCCAACAGAAGCCAGGTCTCTTACTCAGTTTGGCACCAGACCAAACATCTTTTAGCCTCGCTGGGCCTTGGAGTTGGGTAAAATAACCTCTGGAATGATATTTAAGAAATTGTCTCTGGGAAGGCAAATAAAAGGGTGGCCCGGAGAAAAAGGAAAACTTCCCCCTGTCTATCATTTCAAATTGAATTATCCTTTCAGACTATAAAGAAACACATGCAAAGAAACAAAACCCCTGGTGACCCTAAGCAAATTATTGGGTCCAATAAAAACCGGGCTCCTGCACCTTACAACAGTAACGTCCACTCAAGCTGTCCCCCCTTTAGTTTCCCTGGTATTTCATTGGGATGCAATTCCACAAGTTAGGAAATAGGTTAGTTTAGGTAATTTAACTCAGTGTCACGCCTTGTCCAGCTCCTAAATTCTAGAATTCTTCACTGTGCACGCTGCTTCTGTTTAAGCAGTGTTCTGTTGTTACTCTTTTAAATAAATACTCGGAGGGGGGCTGGGGGGGGGAGTTGCTGGGAAGGTGGCTCAGTGCTAGAGTGCTTGCCTAGCATGCATGAAGCCCTGGGTTCGATTCCTCAGCACCACATAAACAGAAAAAGCCGGAAATGGCGCTGAGGCTCAAGTGACAGAGCGCTAGCCTTGAGCAAAAAGCAGCTCAGGGACAGTGCCGAGGCCCTGAGTTCAAGCCCCAGGACTGGGATAAATAAGCAAATACCGGGGCTAGGTGTGTAGCTCAGTGGCAGAACGCTTGCTTAACACTCGAGAGGGCCTGGATTCGAATCCGAGCACCACGAATAGTAACACTCCCGTTTACGGAGCACGTTCGGTGTACCGCAGCCCGAAGTGCTTCACGTACCATTCGCTCATAATTCTCAGGACAACTGAAGGGTAAGAAGTACTGAAGTACTTTGGCAGGGAAGATAAAGAAGCTCGGAGAGATCGTGCGAATCCAGCCCAAGGTCATGGCTGCGCACACACACACACACACACACACACACACGTGTGGAAAGCAGGCTCCATTCCACGCTGCTTTGAATCGGAAGCAACTCCCGGTTCAAAGGACAGAGCGGGAACGCACTCTGCGCGCGCGCGCGCAAGCTTCCGGGAAGGAGGGCAAAGCCGTAAGGCGGTGCCGGCGCCAGAACTCGCGAGAAGACGTGCGAGAGCGCGGGCGACGCTGTCGATCGCCTGGGCCCCGCCCCACGCCAGCGCGCCCCC